CTAGTAGGTGAGCTCGCTGGGCTCAAACCTGACGATGTTGCTAACACGGACCCTAGCAAGAGCCGTGCTTCGCAGAATCTACCACCGGATCGGAAGCGCGACCCACTGAGAAGATGCGGCGAGAAACTCAGTGGGCTGTGTCTGAGGGTTTGACTGCGTGCCATCTCTGCAACGCTTTTAATATAGTCGAGACGAAATCCCTAGAATCGTCAAGAATATTTCACAACAGTATTGTGTGTTTCCGCTATCTGACAATAGATGGCGTTGTACTTCTCGAGCGTTCTAGATGCTACTAGATCCTTCGATATTCGTTCGACTATTTGGGCGATAGATGGTGTTACTCTTACCGGCGTAACAATAATAATAATATAATGACTAAAATAATTCTTACAAGCGTAGAATTTAACATGATTGAGTTTTATGTATCTCTTGCTGCTACAAATAATTCACATAACCCACCAGGGTATTTTGGTTTATAAAATCCACCACACTAGATACAATTAGAAGGTTTTTATTACAAGACGATGTATTAGCGACGCGAGCCGTTTTTCTAATGAAATTGCAGAGACAACAGTTCCTATTCAGATAACTGTTTTAGAGTTTAATCAAGTAGTTGACGAAGTGAATCACAACTCTTGCCGAACTTTGCTTTTGCCTACATGAATAGTCACTCAGTGAGAGCCCGGTTGCATATATTTGTTTAAATGGCTTACTAAATAGGTATAGACGTTTCAGTATATATAGATAGTAGTATCTAATATACAGGGTGTTCTAGAAAGAATGGATAATCCTGAAACACCTCATGGTAGAGCTGCTGGGGACACAAAATAAAAAAATAAAAAAAAAACTTAGGTAGTACCCAAATTATGTATTTTGGCTCGATATAATTTGATTGATGTTTGACGATTGTGTTAATAATTGTAGCCTTCTCCGACATATACATACATCTCTCTATATTGAGCCAACGACCTAGCCTATCTTGGTGAAAACGTAAAGCATAACTCGCACCCTAAAAAGCATCTGACCAAATTCAGTTGCATTCAACATTTACAACATTAAAAAGTTTGGTTTTTATCTGTAAAAGCAGCTTCCATTTCAATTCAATTTTATTTTCAGCTCAATCAATCTGTTCGGGCTGAACGCAAAACGGGAAACTGTGTGAATTATTTCGGAGTCTAGTTACAGGTACTTCACTACTTTCCGATTTGAGCTAGGTAGACGAAATACCGGTGGGTTTGGTAAAAATATACCCACAAAATAAGCGGTGGAAAGGCTGACTGGTGCCGTCGCACTGGTTTTTACTATTGACGTTTTTAAATCTGTCCCTAATACGGCTATAGTGTTGTAAAAATTAAAACTATCGCACGACTCGGGTTTTTAATTTCAGAATATTGTAAAGCGTCTAATACTTTATTCACAGTTGTATTGCTAGCCTCCCTTAACAACATTACTTTACGTACATTAACGTTTTTTACACGCAGAAAACTTACAACACCTTGAGGTCTAAGAGATAATAGGTTGGGGAAAAAGTTTCTTCGCATTTTTTAAGAAAATTCACAACATTTTTTAATATAGTTTATTTACATTTAACTAAAGTATGTAGGTACCATTTTGTTTGATAACTTTTTGCCATCTTATAGGTAGAAACATGATCCCATTGCTATAGAAATGTTGGGGCTTCTGATCAAAATTCCGCGACAATTGGTTTTGGCAGTCCTCTCGTGATGTTAACCTGATACTGCCTAAAGAATTTTGAAGAGACCGAAACATGTGGAAATCTGAAGATGCAGGGTCCGGTTTTTTTTTTTTTATTGCTCAGATGGGTGGACGAGCTCACAACCCACCTGGTGTTAAGTGGTTACTGGAGCCCATAGACATCCACAACGTAAATGCGCCACCCACCTTGAGATACAAGTTCTAAGGTCTCAAGTATAGTAACGAAACGGCGGATGCATTAACACCTCCCAGATAAGCTCTCTTAATTTTTGCTGAGTGGCTAAAGATGTGTGAGGTCTAGCGTTATCATGATGAAAAACCACATGCCTTCTGTTGATTAATTCCGGTCGCTTTCTCTCAACTTCTTGCTTTAATCTCATCAGTTGTTCGCAGTAGAGTTCAGAATAGATGGTCCTGCTTGGTGCTTACAGCTCATAATGAATAATGCCCCTCCAATCCCACCACCAACACACAGCATCACCTGGTTGCGAGTTAACCCGGGTTTCGCCACAATCTGTGCAGCCTGACTGGCCTTTGGCCACGACCTTTTTCGCACGTTCTTATCGTACGTGATCCACTTTTCATCACCATTTATCAGCTTCTCAAAAATGGTTCGGTTTCATTATGTCGTAATAAAGAATCACAAATTAGTACATGGTTCATTAGGTTTCTTTCAGTGAGTTCGTGGGGTACCCAAATATCGAGCTTTTTTGTGTACCCAATTTTTTCAAATGCGCCAAAACTGTTTTGTGGTCAATTCCCAGTTCTTCAGCTACGTCGTAGCTACTGGTCCATAAAGTAGGTCTATAAACATCGCAAATTTTTTTCGCGGCTTGCGTTGCATTTTTACCTTTTTTGTAGTAAAATTTTAAAATGTATCGAATTTCTTCATTAGGTTCACTCATCTTGACAGTACGAAAAATAAATAAAAATCACACATTTTCCTAATTTGAATTTGGAATTATCTTCTTTAAAACTTAAACTTTTAATGATACCAAAACCAGCCAGATACAAATAGTATAGCCAAAGAGATTTTATTACAAGTTCATACATACTATGATGCGATAAGACTTTTCCCCAACCTATTATTTTGACTTAGTTTCTCATAGTTTTTATCTTCACGATAAATGGAAACCAATGTGTTAAATAAGAAAAAAGATTAGGTCATAATAGTAATTCTAATGGTATGATGCGGAAACCGAAGTAGTTTCTAGTGTCATTAGAATTAATAAAAAAGGGGTATAGAATTTTGAAGACAATTATCTCAGAAATGTTTGAAAAAATACTTACATACTTAAGAAGCGTTGGTACAATGATTGTACAGAATTCATGGCGCTCTACACGATCAGCTAATAGGTTTTCGAATTAAACATTTTTTTTGTTTTTTAATTTAAGATTTCTTAATTGAAAATACAGCTCGAAGTTCATAATAATATGTGATTGAACTAAACTTGTATCTTAATCTCTAACACTCCTCCTACTGAGAATACTGTAATAGGATATCTTTTAGGTAACACTATAATAAAACATTTAACAAAGAAAATTTAATTAAGAACTCATGATATACTAAGTTAATATGTCATGTGAATGAAGTATGTGCCAGAGTTTGTGAATGTATGGTATGAAACTGTGCAAGTTTGCAGTATGATCAGTTTTAGAATTTAGAAGGAGAATTAAGAAAAAATTATGTTCTTTTTATTTTATTTTTATTGCTTAGATGGGTGGACGAGCTCACATCCCACCTGGTGTTAAGTGGTTACTGGAGCCCATAGACATCTACAACGTAAATGCGTCACCCACCTTGAGATATAAGTTCTAAGGTCTCAGTATACTTACAACGGCTGCCGCACCCTTCAAGCCGAAACGCATTACTGCTTCACGGCAGAAATAGGCGGGGTGGTGGTACCTACCCGTGCAGACTCACATGAGATCCTACTAACAGTAAAAAAAAAATATTGCCCTTTATTGATAATAAGTTCACGGTCCATCTTGTGAAAACTGGTTACTGAAGCCCATTGTTGATTCTTGGTTTCAACTTTATTATGTAACGGCTATCTCACTCTTCGAATCCGGAACGCATGACTGCTCCGTAACAGATAAAGAAAAAATCGTGGTGTCTAATCGATATTATTATTAAATATTTTTGAATTGTAGAATATTATATACACACATATCGTCTTTTCGCATTAAAATGGTACAATTTCTAAAAATATTCGAAATTGAGTTAATATGCGGAATTATTTGGTATCACCAGTCTTTTTCTCATAAATACTGTCAAAAGAGTGTAGTTTAGTTTTGTTTTTTTAGTTTACCTATGTTTTAACTACTATTAACAAAATCAATATAAATTTTATTTTACTTAAAAAGACAGATAATGTAACTAGTAAAAAAAAAAAATGTTGCAAAGATGATTAATATTAAATTAACATGTTAAACCTTTAAAACCTTCTCCTGTAAACTTAGTAAGTTTTGAGATTATAAAGTTTCAATGCGAGAAGACTATATGTATATAATATGATAATAAGAATATATAAAACATATAAATACAGGCGTATACAAATGCTTCTATAACAACCAAAATATAAATTACAAAAATATAAACATGTACAATATATAAACCTAAAAACAAATTTACGTAAACTACGTTAAAATATTGCAAAACATAAATACATCAAATTATTGGTTAAGTATTTAAGGTAATATAATAATATAATATAATATAATAGGTAATAATAGGGGCTGGTATTGTCGCTGCCGGTAATCACTCAACACCATTGATTACATTTTGCACTCGTGAGTTCATGAACAAAGAAAATTCTCTGTAATCAGAGACAAAGAGTAATTAGAATTTATAAAAGCATTTATTTCAAAGTGATTTTAATGTTTAAGCTGAATTTGCGCATTTAATTATGTTATCTGTAATAAAAGTCGACTTTGTCTAAGAATGATTTCTTTTTCAAAGTAAACTGTTTTAATGTGATTTTACTCATTATCGAATTTACTATCGAAATATTATAATTATTTGTACATAAACAGTATCACTTTTCTTTATAATTTTATTAGTGATAGATTTTTAAATGTAATTAATTATCTCGCACAAAAGTGGGCACGCAAAAGATTATATTAATTAATTTAAAAGCCAGTGAGTGCATTCGCTCTGCTGTTTAATTTCGCAAATTTTATTATAAACTCAGTTATGATACAGTTTTTTATTTTCAAGTCACAGTCTAATTACGAATTCATTGAGGTTTTATTGTAAATAAATAACGCTGGTATTACTTGGATAGATTTATTAGACACATAAAATATAATAGTTTTAGCATAAAATAGTTGATAATATTTTCGTTAAATTTAATAGTGACTAGATAGTGACTAGACGCCCGGCAGGAGGGCCACCAATAAACACCGCATCCACATTCAACCACGCACTTCATTACTGACCCGGAACTCACAAAGTAGGTAAGGACAGGAGACATCGACAACAAACGAAAAATACACCAACTGCAGAGCGCAGGAAGTCCGGGACGTGAAGCCGGGAACGGATGGGGCTTAATATCTCGCGGGCTCTGGGCCCAGCCAAGCTCAGGCCATCGCCAGCTCGTCGATCCCTTGGAGCAGGCGCGAGCGCAGACGTGCGAACACCGGGTGCTGAACCGGAATGCCGCGTCCATGCAAGAAACGCAGGGTCTCTTGCGCACACACCAGAAACCCAAGCTGCTCCGGGTCCATGTCCACAGGCACAGAGTCGAGTAGAGGATCCTCGTTCTCGTCGCCGAACTGCCCCTGGCCGCCGAACTCGGGCTCCTCGACTTCCTCCTCCTGATTAACTCGACGATGGTCGTCATTTACTTCTGCAGAGCACACCCGTCCGAAGAGCCTCTTCAGCGCCTGACGTTTCTCCGCATTCTCGGAGTCGTTGAGCAAGGGCTCGCTGTGGGAGCGCTTGCGGCGACGTTGACGCTTCACTCGACGCTCGGAGTCCTCACGCTTACGCTTGTTCATTATTAGCTTGCCCGTCGGCATCGGGATGCAGACTGCGAATGGGCCGTGCACAGGGAACTGAAGGGCTCCGCGCTTACACTGAATATACTCCGTCCCTCTTGTACACACGGGCGGCCGGGCGGCGCGAGCGAGACGAATAGGTCAGCTGCAACGGGAACAGCTGGGCGAGCAGATGCAGGGCGCGGGGCACGCACGCTTTGTTTGATAAACTTTATTCGGGGAAATAAAACTGTTATCCGCGATTGCGCGAGCTTGCGGGGTGCGGGGCCCGGGCGGGGGAATACAGGACCAACCCGGCCGGCAGCTGCGACGCATCTGCCGCGCTCAGGTGAATCCACAATAATCCACATGCTACGTCTCAAGGTGCCGATCTCGTCTGATTATCGACTTGGATGTAAACAAAATAAACATAAACTAATACACATAGATAATATGAAGAATTCACAAGGTAACATAAAGTTAATAGTAAAACAATAACACAGTTTAAAATGTTTACGATCGATAAATTTAAAAATTAATAAAGTCTTAATAATGTGTACATTAAACAAATGAATGTTATATTATAAGTACGCTAGTACTACTAGTAGTACAACAAAGGATTTACTCTTGTTTACGGACAATGTCATTCGACATTCGCGAGCAACAAAGATATCGGAACACGGTCGGTCACTTATAATAAATTGAACTGAAAACTGAAACAGCTCAACGTTCGCGGACACAGACCGCTATGTCGGTACATAGACAACTATGTGTAATGAAAAAATCAATACTCAGGTTTATGTGCCCGTGGTACTGGGAATCGGGCGGTCATATATCGTCTTTTCGCATTAAAAGTGTACTACAGTTTCCAAAAATATTCGAAATTGAGTTAATATGCGGAATCATTTGGTATCACCAGTAACTTTCTCATAAATACTATCAAAAGAGCGCAGTTTAGTTTTAGTTTTTTTTTTTAGTTTACCTACTATGTTTTGACTACTATTAACAAAATTAATACATAATTTTATCTTACTTTAAAAGACAGATAATGTAACTGATAAAAACTAAAAAATAAATGTTTGCAAAAATGATTAATTAATATTAAAAATATCATATGTTATACCTTTAAAGTACTCTCTTGTAAAATTTAGTAAGTTTTGAGATTATACAGTTTTAATGCGAGAAGACAATATGTTAGTTACATTTCGATGCAGTGATCTATGTTTGCAGGAGGAGTTGGCGACATAAAGGATTTTCGAAAATCCGCTCCCGAGATACTTGCAGTGTGCAGGATCGAATCAAGACGAGCTCACATTGTGTTGTAGGAGAGATGGCTTCGATAGTTCTCTGTGTAACCTGCAAATTCTGTTCAACACGTAGATTTATTTGAATATGCAATTTCGAAAAGGGCACATCTCCGAAAATGTAAAATGTTCAGGAAATGAAAAAAAAAAACTGATTATTTTCTAAAGCAGTGTAAAATTTAAAATATTAACTTTTGAGGTATTATATTTTAGTGTTAATTAGCAATTGAAAATTAGTGGAATTATTATAAAATGGGTGTAGGTAAGCCTCAATAGTACATGTATATGAAAAAACGTATTTGACAAAATATGTGACATGTGCCCTTTTAGAAATTGCATATTCAATTTATTAATCTAGTTGACCATGTCAAATCCGAGAGATAAGTTTCTTTAATATCGACTCTGAAATAAAGGAAACGGGTATTTCTCAGTTCAACTGAAGAAGAGAAAACATTTATTAAATACGTATTTTTATTTTGACATAGTTTTTTTTTTTTATGAATTTTTGCATCAATTAAGTGTGATATTTTTTGATGGGATTTAAATTTATTTTACGATTGAATCTTTATTTTTTATTGGATATAATATAACGACAATAAAAAAAAAGAAAGATTAAAATCCTAAAAATGGTTTTAATTATAATAGATTATTTGTTAGTTATGTAAGATTCTTGTCAATAAACGAAATTATTTTATAATTACACTGGTCTAAATAAAGGACTTTAATAGCATTGAAATAATCTGTTTTTAAAGTGTCAGATTTTGTTAATTCATGACCTCTTTTTAAATATTTCTGTTGAAGCTCTGCTCTTAGAGATTTGCAGAATTATCAGTAAGGGATAGATATATGTATGAGGCTGTTAATTATCATCATTTGTTTCTATTCACGCCTAGGCTTAGGAACGTAATAAAAACAATTTGTCGCCTTTTATCTTTAGTTAATACAGTCGAGAATTGTTTGAAATTTGAATGTAAATAATTTTTCGTGTTATTTCTCTGTAATCTCAGTTAATCCGAATTGTAGACAACCAATTAATTAGAAAAAAAAAAGATGTGTGGTGTCGTGATGTCGTGCGACACCGGCTAGGAACGAAGTTTTCTATACTAATATTATAAAGAGGAAAGATTTGTTTGTATGTTTGTTTCGAATAGGCTCCGAAACTACTGGACCGATTTGAAAAATTCTTTTTCCATTAGAAGCCGACATTGTCCCTGATGAACATAGGCTACTTTTATTTTTTATTTTTTTTATTCTTTTTTTTTGGTTTCATGTGTGTTTTAATGTTTCCGAAGCGAAGCGAGGGCGGGTCGCTAGTTTATTATAAAAATATTAATTTAAAGTTCTATTTGAGGTATAAAGAAAACAAAACTGGAGGTTTCACAACAACCCACGGTCATTCGGTAACGTGCGAACTTATTGTGGTACACTTCATTCACGGTTGCTTGCATAAGAATTAGTGTATTGCGTAAACGAACGCTCTGAGATCGTGGTCAATGAATCATAAAAAAATATGTTATTTTTTGTACGTTATCATAAAGTTAAATCGTACACTGTGTGCATTACTAATAAAAAACTTACGTTACGGACGTTTTTTCCCGGTTAGGTTACCCCTCGGCATCGTCCCATAAGGAACTTAGTTCCAAAACCGATCGTCTATTTTTACAATTTATTGTTATTTAAGAATATTTTCCTGAAACATAAAGTTCGGTAGGGATTCTTGTTGACTTTTAAGTTTTTCAAAATGACTTCGATGCCAATTGAATGATAGATTTAAAATGCATTGTCACATATCAAGTAAATTTAAATTCGGTTGCCAAATGTAAGTGACAATTATTGACACTTTCGTCAATTCTGCCGATTAAATCTAATTAATCCGATTTCCATCGAGTAATAGGACGCCGGAACGTAGCGATCTATTGTACTATTGTATGTATTGATGGAGAAACAAAGGCTGCTCTCTCTTTGACTAGAATTAGTTTTGATTGAAGCTTCTTCACTCATAGGTATCTTATACCTTTAAACGAGCAATTCTTGTATATTAATATATATATATATATATATATATATATATATATATATATCATCTGAATCTCGGAAACGACTTCAACGATTTTCATAAAATTTAGTATACGGGGGATTTCGGGGGCGATAAATCGATCTAGCTACGATTTATTTTCAGAAAATGTTGTTTTATTCGTGTTTTCAATAATTAACTCTTCCCGACATCTATTGGCGAATAATAATACTATTTTTCTTAATTGAGGGCAACTAACCGCTTTAAAGACAAAACAAGATGGCGTTATCAAAAAAAAAACGGTTATCATCTAGTATACATATATGTAGACAAAACGTCCATACAAAGAGCAAACGAAGCTGTTCATCACACGAAATTGGTTGTGATGGGAGAATCGAGCCCGCGACCTTCGGCCCAGCCGTCAAGGGCGCTAACAACTGTTTGTTTGTTAATAACAATCTATGGCGTAGCTGTTAAATAATGAAATTGATACTTCGACTTCATGTCTTATACAAATACAGATGACAGCTTTACGTAAAAGCAAACATAGCGTTGAACCTACCTGTATTCACATACAAAGTCCTATAACTGTAAGTAATGATTTTACACATTTAATTATTTATTTTTTATTGCTTAGATGGATGAACGAGCTCACAGCCCACCTGGTGTTAAGTGGTTACTGGAGCCCATACACATCTATAACGTAAATGCCTCACTTGAGATACAAATTTTAAGGTCTCAAGTATAGTTACAGCGGCTGCCCCACCCTTCAAACCGAAACGCATTACTGCTTCACGACAGAAATAGGCGGGGTGGTAGTATCTACCCGTGCGGACTTAAGAGGTCCTACCACCAGTAAGTCCCTCAGGGATCCCGTAAGCTGGAAGCTTCGATAGAAGTGCCCTATGCCAGACCCTGTCGAAGGCCTTCGCGATGTCAAGGCTCACAGTGAGAACCTCGCCCTTGCTTTCCAAGGTTTCAGCCCATTTATGTGTGAGGTATACAAAAAGATCGCCAGCTGGGCGACCATGGCGGAAACCGTACTGCCGATCACTGATCAGCTGGCGATCCTCAAGATACTTAAGAAGTTGTATGTTTATGATTCGCTCCATCACCTTGGAAATAAATAAAAAGTAATCCGAGATTGAGTTTAAGGAAATCTTTCGATTTAGGCCACGGACTAACGGAGTCTTGTCCCTTTGATCCATGTTATTTCATTTCATACAAACAAAACATCCCGGAATATAAATAAAATTATTATTTCTAAATTGAAAAATGAAATGAAAGTTATTTAAGCTACATGCTTTCTGCCGACGAACGGCAAGCTTAAAATTAAATATCCTCTCGGAGACTTCAAAGGATATCTAGTTATCTCTTGTTTGTATTATCTATAGAGTGTACTTAGATTTTATTATCTACAAAGACTAAGGTTTTTGCACTGTGAATATAGGTGAATTTGTTCACAGCCTATCTGGAGTTCAATCACATAAACATCGCAGCTTGAATACTTTCATCAACCTTCAGATGTTAGGTTGAAGTCTCAAAGGTGCTTAGATGGACGAGCCCACAGCCCACCTGGTTTTAAGTGGTTACTGGAGCCCATAGACATCTACAACGTAAATGCGCCACCCACCTCGAGATATAAGTTCTAAGATCTCAGTATAGTTACAACGGCTACCCCACCCTTCGAACCGAAACGCATTACTGCTTCACGGCGGAAATAGGCGGGGTGGTGGTACCTACCCGTGCGGACTCCCAAGAGGTCCTACCACCAGTGAAATTGTAGGNTTAAGTGGTTACTGGAGCCCATAGACATCTACAACGTAAATGCGCCACCCACCTCGAGATATAAGTTCTAAGATCTCAGTATAGTTACAACGGCTACCCCACCCTTCGAACCGAAACGCATTACTGCTTCACGGCGGAAATAGGCGGGGTGGTGGTACCTACCCGTGCGGACTCCCAAGAGGTCCTACCACCAGTGAAATTGTAGGCTAAC